CAACCTCTCTTTAATATTAAGACGAAATTTAAATCTGTTCAGTTTTCGAAAAGTTGCCTGATTTTCAAGCTTTTTCAGCTGGATAAGAAAACACGTTTATATCTCTTTAATGTGTAACTTTAACGTGCTTGACACAAGTCATATGCAGCCTCACTTTTAATCATGTGAGATGTGAAGTTACTATAATATAGCATGTAGGTCAAGAGATGGTGATTCACTGACTCGTGAAATATATTTATCTTAGAATATAAACAAACTGACGATTGGTTTGATATACGAAACATAGTTTAACAGAAAGAAATACTAGAGTTTCAGAGCATGCTATAAACAGATTGTTGGAATTAAGTGCTTCGTAGAGAGGTTAAACTCTCCAAATTACGCAATGGACTGAATTCATAAATGATTTCTATTAACAGAACAGGACGATTTATCTCCCATTATAAGAACAAAATTTCTCTTATGTTATTAAATGCTTTTTTATTGAGTGAGATTATCTGCGTCCCTAGTTTCCGATAACCTTCTTTATGGCTTGTCTCGTTCTGATCATCATGGACGAAATCATGACAGTGAACATCGCGGGCACAATGACAGTTATTATGACAGTATTCATGACAGTAATCATGGTTGTAATCATGGTAGTAACCGTGACAGTATTCATGGCAGTAATCATGGTTGTAATCATGGTAGTAACCGTGACAGTAATCGTAGCAGTAATTATGACAGTAATCATGGTAGTAACCGTGACAGTATTCATGGCAGTAATCGTGGTAATAATTATGGTACCTGGACTCGACAACGACTTTGTGATAATCCCTGCACATGGTCGTGAAAGTTGTCTCGTAAATCAAACTGAAATTGTGGCATTTGAAGTAAATCACTGCCCAGATAAACACATTTATTCAAAGTGAGGGAGAGGCTCTCAATGGGGCCTTTCCTTCATAGCTCTGAATGCTTGTTCGATGACACTACTACTTGTAAATTACTAATATGTTTTTATTTACAATGGATGGAACCTGGGGAGAATGGTCGGATTTTAGCGACTGTTCTACAACATGTGGTGGAGGAACACAAAACAGAACAAGACTATGTGATAATCCAGAACCGAGTAATGGCGGTGCTACCTGTTCTCCTCCTGGTAGCGAAACTAGGTCATGTAATCTCATTTCATGTATAGGTATTACTTTATTTATTTTCGTTTTACACCAAACTTTTCTGACACATTTTTGGTTGATGAAATGAAATGAATGGATATTTTACTTTCTGCACCATGTGGGCTAATGAAGACGGGCAATGCCATGCAGGGTGCAATGAGGGCAATTTTGCCAGGAAAGTGGCATAAGCGTGCTCTTTTTCGATTTCCAACTGTCGAGGGATCTTAAACGTGCACAGCCTGTAGCACACATGGGGTCTCGGTTTACTTGATGATGAAAGGACAACAGTATACCACAATTTGATCAAAATACAAACCTGGATGTTTGACTTGCGTTGTTACTACATTTGTTATCAATGCCGAATGTCAACCATAGACACACTCGAATTTTACGCATCCCGATTGCCCATCTGGCTCTGACACAGGGTAAAACTTAGCACCTCGATATTTACCGGTGTTGAAACGTCGAGCTCAGGTAAAGCCATCTTCTTAAAAATAGAGCTAGAACATGCCGAAACGTGCCGATACTGTACTAACCTGGACAGCTCCTAGATCATTGTTAGCCCTATATCACCTCATTATATGAAAATGATTAAAAGGAAAACTGTCTTTATTGTCACTATGATTAAACTATGACCAAGGACAGTTATCTCATCGTTTGATTATTATTATTTTAAGATTAAATTCGGATATCGTATAAAAAAACATATCAGAAAAGTGTCCATTTTATACAAAAACAAATAATTCCTCTTTCCACTACAAGATTTTATTTGAAATATGTTTTCATTAATTAGTTTTTCATCAGAATTAAATATATTTCCAGTTTCACAAATATAAGGTTTCTCCCCAAGACGGTCTGAAGATGTGCTTCTATACAGACTTTCTAACTAAATGATTTACTACAGATACTGGTTATAATGGTATGGTTAGAAAATATGCTTCTAAATGGACAAAATGCCTGAACGACTAATTGACGAGGCGTAGACTTTCATCTTGGAACTGAATAAATAACCAAACAGTTAAAGCTATTAACATTATCGATTTTTGTATTTTGTAACATTTTCATGGAAGAACCTTTTCAGATGTTTCATTGGTGGCTAGCGGCAAGACACTTCCACAGAATGGCTGCATTTGAATTTATACTTGCCCCGCCCCCATTGAGTCAGTCTTCCGGGATGCTGGCGCCACTGGTTAATAGCTAGTTTAAAAGATATAAGAAGCCTTCTGGTGTTTCGGAGATTATTGCTTTATTATCAGCATACAGCAAAAAAAATAAGTAAACTTAACGTAATGTATGGAAGCCGGCTGCGGCCATATCTACTCTCGACTTCTCGCCCCGAGAAAGCGAGGAATCTCGACCTCTCGCCCACGAGAAAGCGAGGATCT